TATAATGTATTTTTCTATAGTAAATACGAGCGGGAACTTTGGTGAGGCTCTCAACTCAAGTCAGACATAGAACATTACTCATTACTGCACTGACACCGTGACACGTGTCGGCTGTCAGTGTCTTCCAATGTTTATTTAAATTTTCGAACATTGCTTCAAAAAAACCAAGGACTAATCCATCTTCTTCAGTATGAATTTCTTAGTTTTTCAGTATTCTGCGCAGAGTATTATATCTCAGTTTTCTTGCATTAACCACGAGAAACGCAAATGTTTGCTTGTATACAAATGATCTCTTAAAACATTGAATGAGATTTCCCAATCAATCTTCATACTCTCAATGTCACCAACTTTGTTACAGGCAACAACACATTTTGTCTGCAGCCTTCGTAAGTATTAAGTTACGATCTATTTTGATAACAAAACTAAGCCAGAATTTTCTGGCATGATAGAAAAAGCATTTTAGTTATTGTGTGGCAATCAAACTCTACAAATCGTAGTCTGGACCAATATTTAATGGCTTATATTGACGAGCGGCAAGTCAGGTGCTGTAACTGCTTAACGGTGACTGATGTGGCTCAGTGGCAGTGTCATTGACGATAAATTTATTATAATTTCAATCATTTTATTGGAGACTTTACATGCAAACTACAGTCTTACATGCAAATGTTTTAACTAGTTATCTATTTTTTTCTCAACAAGATGGCTAATACTCGATGTTACCGGGAGGCCTCTACCATATTTTTCACCCAACCATCTGCTCTCTATATATGAATTATTGTTGGATTATTGTTTTCTTATTAATTATTGTTGAATGTATGTTTTCTTTCTATTCTTTTCAGCCTGTAAATTAATTCTATTTGTTACAACTTGGTAAATTATTGTGATAATGATTGGAGGACCATGCAAGTGCAGTTACTGATCCCTAAATTGACGAGTCATTAAGTGGAACTGCCACAAGTGGTTGGTGAGTCTAGTTAGGTGTGATCTTTTAATTCCAAAGATGTTTGTAAGTGTCCTACAAGTTTACTACCTCCTAATCTGATTAATTAGCTTTTTTGTGTAATCTAATCTAATGTTTATTGAATTTCTTATGTCAACTGTCTTCTTGCAATTTATTCTTGAATGCTTTGCTTTTGTGTATTTATCGTGATAAGTTTGCAACTTTGACAAATTACTTGAGCGGTTTTTCTTGGTTCTAGTTTTAGCTTATCTTTGCAAATGTTTTACTGATTTCACTCCCAACATTATGTTTGTCTGTTTTGTTTTCATATTTCTTGCTTGCTGCACACAACCAGCTTGCCATCAGGGTTGGTGATTTTTTTTATTTTTTTTTAAATCAAAAAAATCAAAAATCAATGATTTTTTTTTATTTTTTCATGATTTTTTTTTTATTTATTTGATTTTTTTGATTTTTTCAACTTTTTTGTCTTTTTGAAGTGTTATTTTTTATGTTGCAATTAGCCTACTAACAATAACAGTATATGGATCATGATGGATGACTAATAAGGGCACTTATTGCCTTCAATAATGGCCAACAGGCCAAGGTGGTGTTTACCACTTAGGGATTTTTGGGTAAACAATTATTGGTAAGTCTATTCATTAGCTTTGTAAAGTTTGTATGGAGCAAGGTAATGAGCTAGATATTGACCATTTAACTGGCTTCAATATACAAAAACACTTCAGGAATGCAGATCTTCTAGACATTGAAGAGTCACATAACAGATAGGTAGCTGATAGCACAGTGCACAGCACTATCAATAGATCTACTAGTTTTATGTCCTATAAATCTACCAGACTCTACCCTCTATACACACCTACTAGTAGTGACTGAGTGACTGACTGCACTGTTCCCATTTAATTCAGACCAATAAACCATAAACTGAACATAACCAAACAAACCTCATACGACTTGAAACGAGACTTGAGTTATGAGAAAATCTAATACTGTTTGAAATAAACATGTGCACAATTCAAATATTTTATATCCATTCACTGCATTTAAATATTTTATATATAGTCTTATAATTGTAATTGTCTTGTTTCTAGTTTTAAATTCACATATTTAAAGATTGAAATTAAATATTTCAATTAGAATAGGTACTCATATTAGAGTGGAAATTCTTTCTAATTGCCTATAAGGTCAATACAATCTCAACCTCTCAGTATACAGGGAGTGGGAGAACTGATTGAGCAGTTTTGAGGGAAAATAAAAGAGTAATGGAGGTACATAAAGAAGGAAGTTTATTTTCCTAGAGATAGAGATAGCATAACATATCATTTAGAATAATTATGTTTTGAAAATAATATCTGGAAGATGGGGGCCGTTAGCAGCAACACACTGTTGGAGTCGTTCTCAGAGGAGGGAGTAACCGTAACGGTGAATTCCGATCGCTATGCTGCAATGTTGCAAAATTTCTTGCAGCCCATGGACAAAAACATTGTTGAAAATGAAGCATTGGGAGACGTGTGGTTCCAGCAGGATGGGACTACAGCTCACACAGCCTGAATGTCACTCAATGTTTTGAAACACATGTTCCCAGACTCTGAGGGGTGATTTACAGTGGCCTGCAAGGTCACCCGATTTGAGCATTTGCGATTTCTTTCTTTGGAGACATCTAAAAGAAAGGGGTTCAGAAGTCGCCCTCACACCCTACCACAGCTAAGGGAACGGATTATTGCAGCAGAGGTTATGGCCATACCTCGCCATATGTGTGAACGTGCTGTAGGAAACTTCCGAGAACGACTCCCAACAGTGTGACGCTGTTAACAAACCCCATCTTCCTGATATTGTTTTCAAAACATAAGATTTTAAATGGAACAATATAATATTTTGAATGGTATGTTATGCTAATCTCAAGGAAAATACACTTTCTTCTTTATGTATCTCCATTACTCTTTTATTTTGCCTCAAAACTGTTCAATCAGTTCTGCCCCACCCTGTATAAGCTAGCTAACACATTTAAATTGTATATATATAACAAATATGGTAGTCAAATAGTTAAAGACTACTTATAGCCTTATAAGAATTAGCTAAGCTGCTACCTGCGTACAATTTATTGTACACTTGATGCCTCTGTACCAAAAACATTCAATTTATTGGAACCTAATACACACTAAAGGCAACAAGTTTATATACCAATTTGTCATTTATTGTACATTTATACTAAACCATGAATAACAATACCTCAATATAAATTAAAGACTGCCACTCAATATATTTAAATATATGAAAAAATCAAATAAATCAAAAAAAAATAAAAAAAAAATAATAAAATCATGATTTTTTAATAAAAAAAATCAAGTGATTTAATCACATGATTTAATCATTTTGATTTAATCATTGCCAACCCTGCTTGCCATCAATTAAGAATCTATTTTAAGTATTTATTGCATCAGTTTTAACATTCAATTTCCCTTCAGGCTTAGTATTATTATCTTGTTGGACAGGTTATTGATTTTTGTTCTCTTTATTTTTCAGTTCATCAATGATGGAATATGTGTAACCCTGTCCGTGCTCCCTTCCCCTATCCCTAATCATAACTCCTGAATGCAGTTAAACTTATTCACTCATTACATTGTCACTGTATTTTTACTTCAATTTAAGAGTTAAGACACCAGTCTTTCATTCGCCTTTAACATACTAGCGAAGGGTTGTTGCCAAACAAAACTCAAAGTAGGTAACACGGTTACCTCACCCGCAACGTGAGACATCCACCCGGCAACATCGAGGCATCTATTTTTGGCAAGAAATTCACTTATGTGGACGTCATTAAATGCCGCATTAATTTTTTTTTTGTTTAATAATGAATCATTTTATCCATGACATACCAGAGATATGTCTAGATTGAATCAATGGGGCACAAAAGCTTAGTATACATTTATTTTGCTTAGTATTACTTCTGCTTTAATATATCATTGCACGCTGCATGTACACGCTTCCAAGGTGGTATTGCTACGCGAGCAAATGTGTAGCCTTATATTTATTTTTTTTATCTTTTGCGTTCCTTTCCGCCGGTATAAGTTACCCCATTTTACGGTACAGTACTGTATCTCCCATCAAATTGCAATAGAGCATGTCATGATTGAGTTGTAAGATTCTTAATTTATTCAATATATGTTGACCCAGACCTACAGGTTTTTTACAATGAGTAAGAATTTGATCTCAGAGTGTAAAATATGACAATTTTTCATGATATTGGCATCTTCTTAAGTTTTGCATCGAGAAATTTTGACCTTGAATTGGCATCAATTTTTCATTGCAGGTCCAATAACAAACATTGCATAGATTGGTACCTGTCACTCATTTTGATAAGTAACCATCACTTGCATTGCTCATACCGTGCAACACTCTCCCTTATTGCCATATTGACCATTAGCTAAATTGACCATAAACCATGGTCTGTAGAAATGCTTGATGGAAATAGCCATATAATATAATAATTCTACATTCATTCATTAGCTTCTGTAAGCAATGAGTTTGGCATGCTTGAACTATTATCTGCATTACTTTAAAGTTTGGCTCCAGTCTAGTTGTTATTAAATAATAATAATAATGTTATTAAATAATATCTTTTAATATTATATCATAATGAAGCTCTAAAATTTCAAAATTTCCCACAATTTGTGACTTTAAAGATGTAACATTTCATTAAAAAGATCCCTTTTTCTATGGTGTCTAGATCTAGGTAATTCCATTTAATAATATCTGTCTACCTGTTTGCTCAGCATTGATTATCTGTGTTTGATCATCAATGCTATGGCAGCGGAGGTGGACAAGCATTCCATGATGGGAGTTTTATTCTTTTTATTTCCCTGTTGTGTTTGTATGTGATGTGGGATTTGTTTATTGAATGGGATTATTGTTGTAGGAGGAAAGTCATATATGTGTAGGTACTATAAAACTTATTTTAAACTGAATAGTATCATAGCTGGAAAAATTGTATTGCTCTAGCTGCATTTAAAATAACTTCTACTAAAGTAGCCATTCATGATTTGACTAACAACTGTTTTTTTTTTTTTTTTTTGCAGGCTTCAAGATTCCTGTAATTGAGAATATGGGAGCAACATTGGATCAGTTTGATGCATTTGATCTCACTGACAATGATATCAGAAGACTGGATGGCTTCCCATTACTGAAGAGACTTAAATCTCTTCTTTTGAGCAACAACAGAATAGTGTGAGGATTAAAGCTTGGGTGTACTTATCTTTGTGTTGATGATAATAGATGGACCAAAGTAGGCTTTTTTAAGGAAGTGATGTTCAAAACTTGATAGCATTATTTATCATTATAATATTTCCACTGTTTAGATGATCATTTTTTCTCCTAATATCAATGAGTCTATTGATTGTTTTGAATAGTAAAATCATTATCTTTTTCACTTTTTTGTTAATCACCTTCAGCTAATTCTGTTTGGTGACAATTTTATATTTTTCCTAAAAATGAATGAACTTGTGCTAATCACATAGCTTTTTATTACATTTTCTTAGTTTAGTTTTGCCTCTGTTGTCTGTCATTAAAAATTCAAACCTTAATTTAGAGCACTTCTGAAGATTCTAGGAACTTGAAATTTGGGAGGCATCCTTATGCAGCCTAACAATTCAAGATTTGTTGATCAGAGGTACCGTAATTATTAAAAAAAAATTTTAATATAAAAAATACAAAAAAAAACTTAAAAATTCATGGTTGGGAATTTTTTTGTCAAACATCCAGAATTGCCAACCCTGGAAAATGATTTGAATTGCTGAACTAAAAGGTAGAAAATGAATAAATAAAATTTTTAAAACCACATTTTCTTGATGGACAAAAAAGAAAAACATTAACTCTTACATAATATTATATAACATTCTACATACGTAACTTTAATGCTATGTAAGAGTTAATGTTTTTCTTGTCTATTAAGAAACCGTGGTTTTTAAAAGTTTATTTATTTATTTTATTATGTAGCATAATTGCTGAAGGATATATACATACAGATATTGTGTAAGCTTGCACATGCACTGAGCCTCAATTGATGAGTCAAATTCAAGATGTGTATATACCTGAAGAATTTATTTGATGTTGAATTTACTAATTTTTAGTATTCATTTCAGTCGTATCTCGCCAACACTGCCAGAATGTCTGCCAAATTTGGAGTCGGTTTATTTGACCAACAACCTCATTGCAGACCTACATGACGTGGATGTATTCGAACAGCTGCCTAGACTGGAGTATCTTTCTCTAATAGCAAACCCTGTCACTGCCAAGGAGCATTACAGGGCCTATGTCATACACAAAGTTCCTCAGGTAATGTTAGTGTGTGGGAGGAATAAAGGACTCAAAGGTCTTCTGATCGGGACATGTTGCCGCAACAAGGAATTAACCACACAACCAAATTTCCTGTTACTGCCTTCTCAAGAACACCTTATTTGGCTGTCTTTTTCTGTGTCTATTTGTAGCTATTATATGAAATGCAATTTTTTAATGTCATCTTGATCAATTCTTATAATTTTGTTGACTTTTCCTGAATTTAAAGCAGTTAAGTAGCCTATTACCATTTGTGTTACAATTGCGGTGTTATTAAATCTTGTTTCGTGAACACATTTCCCTATTATCTATTCACTCCTGCAATCATAGCTTAAGTAATAGTTTTTTATTTGATTGCTATCATGAGCAATATTATTGTCAATTTGGAAAACATATATAGTAATTTGTATGAAAAGTTTTAAGACGTTTATACTGCAGCTACGCGTGCTGGACTTCCGGCGCATCCGTCAGCGCGAGCGCGACGCGGCCAAGAAGCTCTTCAAGAGCAAGAGCGGCAAGGAGCTCGTCAAAGCAGTCAACAGAAGTAAGGCAGCGGCGGCAGCCTCAGCAAACACCTTCACGCCCGGGGAAGGCCTTCCTCAGAACAAGAATAAGGCCCAGGGTAGGTACCATATTGATAAGGCCCAGGGTAGGTACCATATTAATAAGGCCCAGGGTAGGTACCATATTAATAAGGCCCAGGGTAGGTACCATATTAATAAGGCCCAGGGTAGGTACCATATTAGAGCAATGATGCTCGATTGAAAAAACCGTACAATATCGTGAGATAAATTAATTCAATTCTAAATTAACTTATGAGGCATCTTTGCCACTCAGCTTGCGCACATGACGTTATTAAGAAACAACAGCAAGTAATGGGCAAATCTTTTAAGTAGTAATTTCTGTTTTGAGAAAGAATAGTAAGTTTTATATAAATGAGAATTTTTGATTGCACGTTTTGTTTGCAGGCCTGAGCGAGGAGGAACAGCAGGCAATCCGCGAGGCGATCAATCAGGCACGTTCCATGGAAGAGGTCGAGAAGCTTCAAAAAATGCTCAAGGCTGGCAAGATCCCTGGCTCCAAGAATGGCGTTACTACGGAAGATGGTTGGTTGCTCGTAAATTCCTGCTAGTATTCTTACTGTATAATATTGGATTATGATGCATTTCTCCACTTGAGAAGTTTGAAACTTATTTTTGCCAGTCTTTTCGACACTCACCTGCTTGCGGTTTTCCAGTCTAGTATTTTCATAAACTTTCCATGCAGCCACTCCAACTTTGCTATAGGACCTATTAGTGAAGAAATCTGCGTGGTGCATCAATTAAATTTGCCTATAAAATATATGTACACGGTGGTCATTTTATCTGGGCGGTGAATTTGTCTATTCGTTCATGTGATGTATACAATGCATTCTCCTTGTGCTCCATCTTATATGTTACCCGCTCCGTATCAGATGGCTCAGAATTAATTACAATGTTCTTCTAACCTTCGGAACTGACTGGTTGTCATTTATCTTTATGGCGGGATTTCATGATAGCAATTCAATAATTTAAGCTGCAGTGTAAATTAAGATTACTTTTGACCTCTGTTTAGTAGTTTCTTATTCATTCCGTTATTTTATCTCAAGAAATGTATCTAATTTTCTACCAAATATCCAGCTTATTTTAATGAATTTCTCTACAGAAAACGGCAACGAGGGTGCGGATGACGTCATCGAGGTTGAGGATGACGCTATGGAGACCTAAAGCTACATCGTCATTATTTGCATACTTTTCGCGATATCGATGCTTCATCAATGACTTTAAAAAAAGGTATATCCATTTTTAGAGCCTAGATCATGTTATGAAAGACAAAATTCAAATTCGCCAGTGAAATTAAGTTCACTCATCAATAAGGATTCGTGCTTCAATTGGTCTTAGAATTTTTCCTTTTTCTATCACCAGTTGCATTTACTGACGAGTTTATATGTCATTGATTTAGCATCGACGATCGGAATGACTGCAAACGATCTCATGTTTCTTTCGTATTAGTTACTAATTTGATTGGTAAGTATTGTACTCATCCACAACTTGGGTGCCGCTCACATCTGCTGCCGGTACTACACGCGATAAGAACGGCTTGCTGCACTTGGTCTTGAGCTAGAGCACGGCCGAGCTTGTTGATCAGTCCAATATACGCCTTTGAAAAATTAGTACAAATCATTTCATAACTGTCCGTGTTTCATTATGAAATCCTATATGGTTTTGGAACTCCTGTAAGATGAAAGCCTCATTAAATCAGTTATTACTAGTCACTGCAATAAATTTACTAGATTTTTTTACCCAAAAATTTTTTATACGAATAAATTTACTAGATTTTATTTTATTTATTTTTTTTTTGTAGTGAACAGCACGATTGAATCCGCGTGGCGGGTTCAAAGTTCAAGCAAGCAGTAAATATTCTGTGATGTCTATATTTGGCCTATTCAACGCTGTTCCCACTTTTACTAGCGTTGCCATTAGACCTCAATCGCGTTCACGGCTACCACTGTAAGGTTTAAATCGCTCTTGCTACTCCAGTCAAAATGTTGAAAATCATTGAAATACCAACGCTACTACGCTGTTGTAGTTCTACATTTTGGTGGAAAGTGTGAACTTCCTTGCTGAAGTCCAGATTCAAAAGAAATCGTTTTGTTTGGATGAATAAAAAATATTTTGAAGTGTATGAGTGACTTAACTTTGGGAAGTGACTTTCCGGATTCATCAGCGTACGCAGTAAAGGTAAGTAATTGAAACTGTTTTTTTTTTCAAATATTTAAAAACAGTTGATCATTTAAATAAACGGATTTTCACAATGCGGCAACGAGTAATTCGATTAAAAAAATTATTCTCCGCTTAGATGTCGATTAAAACGAATAAAAATCCCCAATGCAACCAAAAATGTTACGCAACTGTGACTTCATCCAATCACCGAAATCACGAAATTTTCCCGCTCATTACCTTTGATTACTGGCCATATTAACTAATTTAATATGTTTTTTATATAGTTTGAATCTGTTCCAAGTTTTTTGCCCGTGGTTATGTTGCTCTGCGTTTTAATAGCAATGTTTTACGCAATGATGAACAAAGTTCCACCAACCGTTAATTAGCGAAGCTAACTTTTTCCTGATCGGATTAGTTTTTCAGCGAAATTTGAAAACCATCTGCAGACCAATTAGCGGAAATTATTCTCAGTGAGTTTTGTACATATATTAAAGATATATATAATTGAGAAATTTGATATTTTTCTACCTTTCATGCAGGAAAACTGCCATATTCCAAATCTATCCCAGCATTCCACTCAGTGTAGCCCATTCAGCTATTTTCCAGTTAGATTTAGCACATTTTCAACGCATTCAGCGGGGAAAACTGGGCTTTAGCGGGAAAAAATATATGTAAGAGGTAAATAAAGCGATTATATTAGCTACAAAATTTGAATATTCAGCGTTTTTTTCTCGAAAATGCCAAATTTTAGCTTGAAAGTCATAAAATCCGTTCATAATTGACGGATTTATGAGTGCCAGAGTTGAAAATGAAGTTAGGTTTTCCGTATTAACAAAAAAGTTATTGATGTAAAAATCTGAAAAATATAGCCTAAGAGATCTCAATATATAATGCAAACTTCCTAGACTACAGTGCAATAAATGGGACAGTGCAATAATAGACCAAATAACTTCCCTCATGAACCTTACTTTTACCTATTTTCTTCCTACCCTTAACACGAACTTTCCCACTCCTCTAACCTCTGCACCAAATCACCAATGTTGTTCCTACCTGACCATCATTCCCTCTCCTCCTACCTACACTAATAAATGTGTGATGCGTGGCAGCTAGCTGATATGAAGGCCCGACTCCTGATTTTTTTTCAGGGTCACCACGCCCCAAAACCATTAGTTCCTGTTCCCACGCATTCACAGCGTGAACTCGTTCTTCTTGTTCGGTGATTATTAAAGCTGCGTAGCGGCGTCCATGTAGCTCTACAACTGCTGTGAAATTTACATTTTTTCAACTGCTGTGAAAATCATTAGTTAAGATTTTTGCCGTACAACCGAGATGTTTTAGTTTTGACGGCACCCGCCCGCGCAGGTTCACCAAAGGTCTGACTCACTACTCACTACTCAGCAGTCAGTATTCTCAAATCTCAGTAATTAGTATTTTACAATTGTAGACTGTCACAGACTCGCAGTCGTAACTCAGCTTACTCAGAGTCTCAGACGGTCAGTCAGTGCAGCTTCGGCCACCGCGGTGTGTGGTGTGCTGATCGAACGCTCGTATTTCGATGACTGAAGAAGGCGAATAATGTCTGTATTCTGTAAGACTGTAACAAACTTAATTTAGAAGCTCTAACATTCAGTTTTAATGCCCTTGTTACGCATTGCTAACGCGTAAATTATTCTCAGTGATAAAGTCTTTCGTGCTGATAGAATATTGACAACCTAACTTACAATGACTTCCGTTTTACAACCGAACACAATTTTGAGACTCTCTTCTCTTATTGTGCAATACTTAGTTAACTTCATCTGTTTCAATTATTTCGTCCTGGCCAACTCATCGATAATAACGAGCTTTTCTATTGAGTTTCCTAACAGCGATCCAGTTCCCCCATCATCAACCAAAGATATTGGTAAGTCTGTTTGCAATAGCGAAATCTAAAGCATACTGTTGAAATAAAAAAAAGCATGCGTATTAAACTAGTCCTTCATATACTCGATTGTAAATTTGAGCTCAGTTCATGTTTTGATGTTTGTGCCCTGCGTATGTATGCAAAAGCCGCACCTGCGTTTTGCACAGCAGTTAACAGAGCTGGCAGGAGCTGCACCTGCGTTTTTCAAAACAGTTAAACTTGGCAGCCAAGAGCGTTTTGTAAAGCAGTTAACCCAGCTGGCAAGAGCCTCACATGCGTTTTGCACTGCAGTTAGGCTAACACTTAACCCAGCTGCCAGCAGGCAAGATCGAGCTGCACCTGTAGGCTGTAGTCCTGTAAAAGCTTATTAACATAATGATGATGTCGGCGCTGAAATGTAGGCCTGATGTGGCCTGTCGCCGATTCTTTTCCTTTTCGTGCCTTGTTCATAGATCTAAACTCGTATCATTTGATCGGATCTTTTCATGACTGGCGATAGTTTGAAGTAGCTACTAGACTTCCACCGGGTTCGATANGTGGGTATTTAAGGTGTAAAATTTAAAAATAAGGGTTATTTATGTTCGTTACTTTGAAAGAATGCTAAGGCACGTCGAGGGGGCGCAGGAGTCAGGCGCTGAAGGGGCAACCGCGAAATGAGGGAGATGGGCAAATGTCGAGACGGACGTCAGGAAGGCTGCAGCCTATTGAGGGTTGTCCCATAAGGAGGAGATGGGGAGGACCGTAGGAAATGGCGGGCAGAAGAAGTGTACCGTAGGTAGCTCCGTGGAGTGGGGGGCAAAAAAGTAGCTCCACACTCGGGGCAAGCCGCGCTTGGGGAGTGTCCCACCAGAAACACGTGTGCACTTTAACAAAAATCACCGTTAAACGGTCTCACCGGCGTTCTAGTGGCCAGCAGACACGTAAAATGAAACACCGTATGACCGTTTTTATTCAAATTTAACACAATAAACCCGTACAACATCTAAGAAAAAAAAACGGATAAACGGTTTATTTTCACGTGGCGGCCGGCCACTACAACGCCGGTGAGACCGTTTTTTTTACCGTTTTTCGAACAGTGCGGGAAGCAAGGTGACTGCAAAAGCCAGACCTCAGCTGTGCTAGCGCGGAGCGGTAGGGGCGAGGGACGGTAGTTGAAAATTAAGGGAGTTAATTTAAAGTTGAGAGTAAACAAGTCGTGGAATTTAAGGTTGAGGGGAGGCAAGGCGGTGCGGCTTAAGACCGAGGTTACTTGAGGCTGAACGTTGTTCGGACTGTGTAATTATAGGCTAAGGATGTGTTTTCAGACATAGGCTAAAGATGCGTTTCTTCAGGCTGTAGTTGTTCAAAAGATTATATGCGACTTTTTATAATTTATATCGCACTGCAAAGGTTTATAAATTACGATATATGATGGATTTTATGAGTTCTCTTTTTGCATCTGCTGACTTTAGATTTGTACGTTAAACATTTTTCAATGCCTGCTCCAACTTTTTTAAAATGAAAAAATACGGAATATTGATTCAATCGCCGATATTTTTTATATTTCTGAAATCATGAGGCTATCTGCAATGTATCATCTTTAATTCTAGTTAGTCCCTGTTAGCTCTTTCTTGAGGGTATCTTTGCTTGCTTAATAAAGCAATATTCAACAATATATGTCTACAATAAATGCATAAAACTGAACTGAGTGTGAACTTGCAGGCCATTAAATTAGTAGATTTGGTAATATCGAAATTAATAAAATTTCACCATGATCTATCAATTATTATTAGCATATACGTGGAGAGTCGTCCGAGTAAAATCACTTGGAAGACTAAGCTAACACCAGCTGGTCAGGTATGAATACTCTTGCTAAATAATAAATATAAACCAGCTGTTCCGGCATGAAAAAATGGTGAATTTTCTTTACGTTTCCAATCGTAATTTTTTATCTATTCAGAAAGTTGTTATTGAAGCTCAACTTCCTGGATGACTGAAGCATCTTGAGATGCAGCAAAACACAGCTGCTTGATGCCAGTGCATTGTTTCGTTGTAAGTTAACGTAAGTCATCATCATAAGTCATCTTCTAAGGTGGCCCTTGACCTTAGCAATCGAGAGACGAGGCTTAGGTCGTTGATATACGAGTAAGGGCCTTTGACGTTTGATTGCTTTGTGTACTGCATCGTCAAACGTGGCAAATATTAGCGAGCGTGAGAACTCATTTGTTCATGAGACTTTAATATGCCGAGACTTGAGACTTGATTATGCCGAGCCGAGACTTGAGACTTGAACAATTAGCCGGGACTTGAGACTTGAACAATTAGCCGTGACTTGAGATTTGAGCAAGCCGTGTCTTCAGACTTGAACAAGCTGAGACTTGAACATGTTTTTACACCTTGCCGTTAAATAGCATAAGTATTCGATCAGAATAAGCGTGAAGTATAAGATTACTGTACGATATTTCTAACAGAAGATGTTTCGCTTAAATTTGGCTGACATTTATAACTGCAATTTCTATCGGTTGCATCATTTTCGCAGCTAAACCTCGCTAATAATTGTTGCCAAATTTAGTAATCGGTCAGACTTCACTAGATAGCAGAAGCATAAAATAATTATAACTGTGTAGTTTATTTAGCTCTATTATGTATGCTAAATGCTGACCTATTATTGCCACAATTGTATTCCGACACTTATCGTAAAAATTTGATTCTAATATTTTTAAACAAAAAATTCATTGAAAAATAATAAAATTCTTTTTGTCGAGTATCAAGAAAAAGAGGAATATGAACAGAAATTTTATCCACTCGGATGTTAGTGTTGCGCAATGTGCATTCCATGGCGTATTTATTGTGCGTAATGTGCATTCCATGGCGTATTTATTGTGCGTAATGTGCATTCCATGGCGTATTTATTGACCAATTGTTCTCCCATGCATACATACGCAGACAATAGGATATACGTAGAGCGCCCACGTCCTGGTGGGGCCGGATCCATTCACCACCATTCACTTATTCCGAGCAAAACCGGATGTTCTCTTCTATTAAAAATTGTAAAACGCATACGATGGAAAAGTTGGTCCGCGTTATCCTGTATTCACAGTTATACGGCTATCTTAATATTTTTTTCCTTCGTTTTCTATCCGTTTTGACTTTTTTTAATTTTTTTTCTCTTGATTTTTTTCCCATATGCCTATGCCACTCTGCTGACTGTTATAAGTTCTGAATGAAAATTAAATAAAGATTAATTTTATTGATGTTACGTAAAATTACTAATGTAATTTCCTTGTCTACGCGAGACGTGAAAGCGGAATTTTTTACATTTTGAACTTCTCAAGATGAAGCAAGTAAGGGATTCTGTCTATAGGTTCTCTGGTAACATTATGTACCGTCAACTTGTCTCGTCTCTTGTCTACTCAGCTTCCGGAACGACAGTTTATCCGCTAATGCTAATGGCCCAAGTTACTCAATTGATCAGAATACTCTGTTACCTGACCAGCAATGATGCAATAGGACATAAAAAGAAATATGACATGAAAGTGGGCTACCGAGGTTATATCATCACTGGAGAACGCATTGTAGAACATTCACAACGCATTGGAATGTCTATATCGGCCACTAGCGGGCTTGTGCTCATCAATCGGCATACGTACAGCGACTTGTCCCACATTAAACGTTAAAATAATACAGGGATATATCTAAGCTAACGCAAAAAAAATTCTAGCCCACCCAATTTCTAATGAACATATTTAGAACATATATAACTCTTCTGACGATTTTGTTGTAGCTCTTCTGTGCCACGTTTTTACTATTGGAATGAAACGTTATTAGCTGCCATAAAACATACGTCAAAACCTACAATAGCTGTATAAACAACTTAATGTTTTTTTTACGAAAAGTAGCAAAATGTAATGAACAGAGTGGTTTTGGTGAGTATTTATTCACTACTGCGAGATCATGTGCTTTCGTCAATTCGTTCTCAATTTATATTTCTTATTTATCATCTTATGCTGTACTACACTTTAACGGAACTTTAAATACGGAAATGCTGTACTACAACCCGTATTTCCTTTCGAACAACTTTTTACGGTCAGAAAAATATGCAAGTCTTAATTATTGTCCAAATAAGTGACTTAAGTTCTTACTCACAGCACGAGAGCGGACGTAGCACTGCAGGATAAGCCGTTTTGCAGGGCAAATACTGGGTCAGGGGCCGTATTATCAAAACTTCGTAAGTACGCAAAATCGACTTACGAGTGGCGTTGCTATGACTAAGTAATACTAGCGGTGGTATTATCAAAACATTTGCGCCGGAAAAACATTTACGCTTTATTTACGCTTTTAGCAAAGACTTGCGTACGAAAGTTTTGATAATGCCAAAATTAGGGTGTACTTACGTACCACAACTTTTTTGTCGTAAGTACAAAAAGTTACGAAGTTTTGATAATCCGGCCCCAGGATGATTATACACAAGGTGAAAAAGTGTTTAATTAATTAATTAATTTAAGGCGGAAGCTGTTTAATTATTTCTCTGAGTGTATATTCATTTTTCCAGAGGACGTTGATATGATTGAGAAAAACATTATGAATTTTAAACTTGAATAATAAAGTTATCATCTCAAATCACTTGCATTCTGTTATACTTTCATTACCCTTATTTCTGTGACGTGAAGCAGAATTTTGAACTGATTAGCTGCTAATAGCTGTTGTGATGCGATGTTAATAGTGACGTGATGCAGAATTTTGAACTGAGTAACTGCTAATAGCTGTTGTGATGCGATGTTAATAGTGACGTGATGCAGAATTTTTGCGCTTTGTGTCAAAAGCCGTGAAGATGCCCGGCTGCGTTACGCTCGGGAAGGTATATGAATCGCACTGTGGACTTGGGCTATGCTAACCTCTAGCTATCCACCCGGTAATTGAAACTGCAGATTTGCAACTTAACCATACATAACATAGTCAATTGAGAATAGACTTGGATACAATTAAACATTTAAATAAACGGATTTTCGCAATGCGGCGAT